TTGTATACTCACGTTGCCATAGCGACCAGCGCAGTGATGACGTACGAAAGGCTTAGCTCCACCACAGAGAAGGTCGATCACTGCAGAATTTGGTCATTTTCAATTGGTTTATTGTATTCACGAAGTGAAAGAAGGGCTGTGTTCAATGCTGTAAGTGCAGTGAACTGTTTGTTAGTAGTCCTCTCGGTTGTGTACTGGGACGTGACACCGACAGGAGAAAGCTGGAGCGCGGAGACACCAGCAGACAAGCGAAAATAGTGACGAACAAAATGCTGAAATCTTGGTTGGGACAAATCAGACGTTCAGCATTTTCCCCAACCAAGGACCATGCCGTTTGCTCTTTCCACTTCCTGAAGGTGAATGTGATGCTTCCTGGCGACTCTCCTATCTCTCGTAACATCTTCTGAAGCCAGGTGAGACGACGGGTGGTGGAGATTGACGAATGAAATAATGTCGTAGGTTTGAAAGTTTGCTGAAAATGTCTCAGGAGAGACGGCGAATTCCAAGCATCTTGTCCTGGAGGAAACCATTTCGTAGGCACAGTCAGCCTTGGGAAATACATGAGAAGGGCGACAAATAGTTCACGGCACTAACAGCATTGAACACAGCACTTCTTTCACATCGTGAATACAATAAGATAATTGAAAATGACCAATTTATGCAGTGATCGACCTTCTCCTGTGGAGGAGCTAAGCCTTTCGTACGTCATCACTCCGCTGGTCGCTATGGCAACGTGAGCATACAATTGGCGATTTGGCAAGTTTGGCTTATCGTATGGAAGCAAGAGATATGCCATTCGAACCGATATCAAATTGTCTTTCTTCTGGACCCTACTCGAAAAATCGATGCACTTCCCCTTTAACTAATAATACAGCACACTCAATAGACCGATCCCCTTATTATTGTCTGGGTTCGAGCAAGGGGGCAACTCCGCAGTCGCGTGGGATCCTGCTGCACACACGCGACCAACCTCACCTCGGCCGTGCACGCGTGCGCGACTTTTCGCATGCGAAGTGCAGAGCACGCGAAATCTACATGCAGTGCACTAGTGCAAGCCTGTCTACAAAAAATGTCACAAGGACTTTTGATTTGAGCTGTTTTGTTTTTGTTCAGACGTCTTCCTTTTTACGACTTCAGGATGCCTTCTCAGGATCATTGCTGCGTTCCTCACTGTCAGAACAGGAGGACGATGCAAACAAGTCATTTCACTCCTTTCCTCGTGTGGAGCCACAGCGGCCTGGAGCAGCGGATCCAGGCTATGCCCCGTGAGGAAGGGCGTAGTTTTAGGGTCACTCTGAATAGTTGCAGCGATCATTTCGATCCCGAAATCGAAATCGTTTTGCCCAGCTCTACAAGGGCAGGATGAGTCCAGGAACCCGAACAGCTGTCCTACGGTACCAGGTTTGCTTTTCGCAAGAGAGTGGAGTCTGGACGCCCTGCTCCCCATGCTCGCAAAACAGTATTTGCTGAGCCTAGTGCAGTTCGGTCATGGAAGTGCAGCGTCTGCATCACGAGCTCCCCATGCTCCCAAACCAGTATTTTGCTGAGAGGCAACGGTACTTTGAGTTGGAAAGGAAGCTGGCTTAGTACAGTTTGGTCCTGTAATGGAAGTGCAGCATCTGCATCAGGAGCTGGCAGCAAGTAGAGCTCGTGTACAGAGTCTCGTGGAGCAGTTGGACGATGTGAGGACTGGGGTGAAGAAAGCCGAAAAACAGCTTACGTACAGTATCATAAAGAAAGACTCTGAGCCGCTCCAGTTTCTGACTGGTTTGCCTTCAGGTGTTTGGACTTGCTCTGTGGGACTTCTTTGAGCCTAGCCGAGAAAATGTACTGCGCCGCGCCAGATCTGCGAAGACGGAAACTGAGGGACGGCGGATACAGTTGGAGGTGGCCGTAAATCGCCAATGAGCATGTAATGGAGGATCAGCTGCTATTGGCATTGATGTGTCTAAGCCTGGGCCGAATGGAACAGAAGCTGGCATGCGTGGCACAAGTTAATCATCCGTTTCACGGTATATAGCTAGCTGAGCTGGAAAGATGTCTTGTTCCTCCGTTTGGGCATGATCCCCATTTGGGCGAGCTGGCGAGATGTTCAGTCATCGATGCCATGCACCGCAAGACATTCTGCATTGTGGATGAAACAGTTCTATTTTGCCATGCACTTAGGGTTCTCGCACCGGCACGGCACAACAAGACCCAACAGATCCTTGCGCTCGTATTTTCTCCCATGGTAACATTGCTGATCACAACACCCAGTAGCCAGTCGCAGATGCAACCAAATCAACCAGGTTCTCTTTCTCTTTTTTTCCAATACTGAAACCAAGGTATACCAATATTTGCATCGAATGCAGTGATGATTTCAATACTGTCCACCAGTACAACGCATTACCAGACTGGCATATAATCATGATAATATTATCCATTTCGCAATCACTGTCATTGCTTTCTTAGATCTCCAATCATCAATATCGGACCATAAACCGTCTATCATCTTATATTATATCATCATTAATATCCTGCTACTATCCTCCTCTAACGATGAGCTCGAAGAAACGAAACAGCTGTCTTGAGGCGGAAACAATATCTGTCAACGGAAGTGTCCTTGCTGTGCTGGTGTGTTTATGCTTCGTGCATTAGTTCGGCCAAGAGCGCATGGTGGTGGCGGGTTGAGGATGTAGTACAGCGGAGTATGACCGAAAGCTCTGTCACAATGTATTTTATTAGGAAGGTATAGAAACATAAAAAAAACTGTATCTTGATCTTGGGCGTAAACAGCCCGTCTCACATTAAATATACTAGAAAATAGTTCACTCTAAACATGCAGTCTTCCTAAGAGAGAGAGAGAGGGGGGGGGGGGGTATATTCATACTCATAGGTTCGAAAGAACCGCACACACACTTTGTTGCAGACAGCGGCAAGCTTTGGCCATCGTACTTCGAAGAGGGAGCAATCCACTGCGCTACGCTTGCGATTAACAGCAAGCTTCGATCTTTCAAAGTTACGACTCATCACTGGCTCTGGGGTAATGTTCCTGGAACAAATGCCCCATTGCCGACTGCGGGCCAGGGAGCACGCAATCTGCCTTCCTGGGCGAGAAGTGTTCCAGCACAAGAAGCAGCACGAATACATGCTTACAAAGACCACCATCACCACCAGCCGGCACACAGCACTTCAAACACCATCCACTCCTTCCATGTGTTTGCACTGTCCTCCTCTAGCTCTTCACGCTCAACAAATACCACGCACTGCTCATCGTTTTTTTTAATGCTTCCTCTGGGTTGGCTAGCCCTTCGACTTGACAAAACAGCGATCACCACTGCTATCGTCACCTCATAGCAGTCGCTTCCACCAGTGGCTTTTCCTGTCTTTGCAAGGTGTCCAAGGATGGCTGCTGTTGTCACTACAGGCAAATCAGAAGTACTTTAGTGGCTGATGTCCAACCAGATCGTTGGAAAATCGATTTTTCCACTTCAGGGCTGCTGATCGCGATCGCGACTTGGTGACTTCGCAGCACCACGGTTACCTTCATAGAAGATGGCTCTGGAGAGGAAAAGGCAGACCAGAAAAAGGTTACTATTATCTTCAGCACCGATCTCAAGGAGAAAGAAATACGGTCTGCTGTAGCCTAGGCACAAAATAAATCTCACAACACGATTCGCGATTCGAATAATACCAACAACAAAAAAACTCACCTCTGGAGTAACTCCTGTTTGTGGCCCGAGATCGTTCTCTCCCGCGCCTTGAAAAAATCCTGCAGCTGCATCGCAGTCCATGTCTCTCTCGAAGACTCTGCTCCTACCAGCAGGAGGTTCAGCACCGCTCGAAGCCATCGCAAACCACTTGAACTAAGCAGAAGACATTCCAAAACAAACCTGAAACACACTGTCAAAGATGCTGTCACGTTCAAAAACTAGCTCGATCGCGAGTGAGGTTGCCCCCGTGCTCGAACCCAGTATAATAAGGGGATCGGTCTATTGTCTCTTATCCGGACGCCTCAGATACCATGGATACGGGCACGTCTCTCTACCGGGCACCTTCAGCTTGAGTTCCTATGGCAAAATGCTTCGAATTTGGGGATTTTGAACCTTTTTTCGGATGCACAATTGCTTATTTTGTCACTGCCAACTTGTGTAATCCACACATTTTCATCAATGGATTCTTTTTTATCCTGAGCATGTGCAATACGTGCCAAATTAACTTCCTCAAAACTGATATGGTACGTGATAGATGAGTTATCCTGAGATACGGGCAGTGCCCGGTCCCAAGGTGCCCAGATAAGAGGCGTCCGAGTGAATAATTATTATTAGTAGTAATACAGTCCATGCACATGTGTCATGTAGCTTTTTGAACAAATCATGCTACACGTCGGTCTCATTATATTCATATTGCATTGTAGTTCGTCGAGAAAAATCTAGAAGAGAGTATTCATACCTGCAATGTATAGGATGCAACACCTAACGATTTGCACCAAGTACCGTATTACCTCTAATAATTATAAGCACAGTCTCCAATAATAGCACGTCTCCAATAATACTAAAAGAACACCTTGGGGCGGCATTCAAAAAATAAAGTGCTCAGTGCAGTCTCCATTATAAGCACACTGTGTAAATTCATTATCTTTACCAGCGAAAAACCCCTGAAATGTGTGTTTCTGACATGAATTTGGCATGGCAACATGCCTCTGAAATGAGGTTGAAATAATAATGGAACAGTCTCCAATGAAGGAACGTCTCCATTAATAGCACACGGCGGAGGTACATTGAAAAAATAAAGGACCGTACTTATATTAGAGATAATACGGTAGTTGCTGCTCACGAACGCAACACGGTCTAACAAGCTGACCAAAACGGCTTTCCATGCACACAAAAATTAAATGGCCGTTTCCTCTACCGGGTCTCACATCGAGGGGTATGTCTGAAGCCAGTACGGCAGTAGATGTCCCAAGCACAACCCTTCCACAGCACAATCATGTAATACGGAGCAACAATACTAACGAGTACTATCTGAAAAAGTCTTTCTTTTCAAATCTTTCCGGTTGTGGCAAAAATTGTGCCTGTGATAAATTAAGTACCGGTGCAATATATTTAAAATATATAATTACGATTTTAAAGTACAGCAGCGGAGCATGCGGCAAGAGAACTAGACGTCAAAAGAATTGTTCGACACCCAACAAGAACACATTCTTAGAAAGAATTAATGAACCAGAGGAGTAGTGTTTGATCAGCATTTCGCTACTCCCAGTTATGAGCTGCTGTGAAAATCTCAAGTATCAACGCCTGATTCTCGAAAAGAAAAAAAAGTTTGTACTCAGATGATTAACGTTAGTCCGTGATTTGAAACACCAGATAGGACAGGTCAAAGAAAATTTTAAAGTCAGGAAAAATAAATACTCACACCGCAGTGGCTTCTGACTTTAGACTCAACGTGACACTTGTTATAGGACGGATGGGAAAAGACGCATACACACACACACACACACAAACACACACACACACACACACACACACACACACACACACACATACATACGTACTGCCATTGAAACCCTCCAGACGCATCGAATGATCAACACTTGATGAAAACTGAACCAGCCAGCGAACATATAACAGCCTAAACTCTCAATGGTATGCACGCAATACCTACATTATCTTCACATGCTATTCCTTGAACATAATTTAAATAGCGTCGAGGTCCAGCACTTCATTGCGTACTAAAGGCTAGATTCACACCGTACACTACCGGAGTGCGGAAGATTGGTATGCATCGATGCTGATCGTCCGACCACCCCATTGCTGTTGATCTTCACAGCTTTGTACAGCGGGTGGAAGTCTTGCGACGCACCGTGGCTGTTGGATAGGACACGCATGGAGTGGGACTTTTTCGGACGATTTGCTTTGTGCTTGGCTGGACTAGACGTCAGGGTTGTCAGGGATATCGATAGCGGCGCCTTAGAGCCATTCTCTGTGACAGCGACAGGGGGCTTCAGCGGATCTGGATGCAGCTGTGGGAGTGAAGCATTCGTCGCTTCACCTCTGTCTCCCACCTGATAGAAGACTGGAAGGATATCACTGGTTGCACGCGTCTCAGCAGTCGCCGGTCTAGCAACCTCTCCCTCTTCTTGTTCTCGTGGCGTTATCGGTTTCCACTTTCGCCCAATGTACAACAGAACGATAGGAGAGAGCACAAGGCCGTAGAAAGCGGACAGCGATATCAGCAAGCAAATCAACTTGGCAAATATGCGAGAGATCTCCACACTGCCAAACACCAGCGCGATGAGGCCCAGGAATGTAGTTAGGGAGCCACTGAAGATGGACGAACCCATCTGCGTCAGTGCAATCACCACCCGTTCGTCTGGATTGCCTGCAAGAAAAACAAACAAAACATGCAGATCGTACAAAATTCCGTGAGTCACGCTGCGCAAATAGCAACCAGCTAAACTGGAAACTTGAGAAATCTTTTGTACTTTTCCAATGCCAATGTCGAAATTTAGCATTCGCTTCTCAAGCCACGATGCTGCGTTGCAAAATTTCCTACGAAAGTTTGCAAGCCCAGTCTATGACATTTGAAAAATATGTCCTACCCCCCCCCCCCCCACCCCCCACCACTCTTACAATACAGTGCTCCAAGCCAAAGAGATAAAGACTCACATCTCTCCTATCCGGGTCGCCTGCTCTGTTTGGAGCAGTGCCCTGAACTAAGATACAGTCGTACCTCTCTAATCCGGCACTTTATAATCCAGCACCCTCGATAAACCAGCACAATTTTCAGTAGCCAAATGTCCTCTTCATGCACATTGCAGCAGTAGATCAGATTTGTTAATCCAGCACCCTCCCTAATCCAGCAGATTTCCGTGGCACAAATGGTGCCGGATTATAGAGGGACCACTGTACTGTAATTTCTTTAATTTTCGGTGTACTTTAATTTTCAGTACTTTCGGTGCGTCTGTTTCATACCTAAAATTTCAATACACCGAACAAACACTAACATACATAATCCAATAGGGAACTGCTCCTCTGTACCTAAAAATTCTGTTCACCCAACCTGGCCTTTTGCCCTCATACCGAAAATATTGAGCACCGAAAGTTTCTAAAATCAGAGTACTCTGTCATTCAGAACTTGCATACAGTTGTAGTAGTATGCGCACGTCAGGCCCCGTCTCTTACTCTGTATGTAAACATGGTAAAAATTCACCTAGGGTTCCCAGTAAAAAGGCAACGCCTGTTGGGACTCCCCTAGTAAAATAATAAAATCTACTACTACTACTACTACACGTACAGCATGAAGACCGTTCAGTATGAATTTCCCTCTGTTTCTATGAAAACGTAGATCATACATGAAGCGTGGTACAGCAAGGTGGCCATTTCTTCAATGTCCGGAAAAATAAATACGACGGCAAGGGGCACTTGAGCGTAGCTAACAAGCACACCACTTCATTCCAGGATTCTGTTAGTTGATCGGCCGGATGCTCAATTCCATGCGGGGGGGGGGTGAGAGATAAATTTAGAGATCTGCACTAGTGGCACAAATGTTCATTGAAGAATGCTGGATACAAGAAGCAGAGGTACTCCTCCAGTACCTTAGAGACCCTGGTGAGCATTTATAAAAATACGACGTAAGATGAGCGAAGAGATGATCAAAGTGCCACAGCAGAGAGATGGGACTCTGAAAACAGTCCACACTTTCTGAACCAAGGCATAACTAACGCACCACCTGACATATTCCTTCTTATCTGATTTACTGTCCCGTAACCACTTCACCTGCATGCCTCACATGTGCACGAAAAAATGCCATCACTTCAACTCCGGAACCTATTTCAAAGACCATATTGATGGCTCCCATACTGATATCGCTTCTACATGTATCGCATCTATCTCACGACAAGTAGTTTGCAGGCTATCTTCTTGATACTATCCTGACATAGTGCATTCCCCTTTACAACACCTCAGGCTCCAGTCGCACTGCTACAGCTAAGCATCGTGGCAGCATAATAAACCACGGGGGGGGGGTTGTGGCACACTGCAATTGTACTGTGATCAGTGATAACAGTAAACACACACACACACACACACACACACACACACACACACACACACACACACACACACACACACACACACACACACACACAGCTTGAGAGTAAGCCAGCACCCGTGCCATTCTCATCCTACTCCGGGCACACTCAACCCCCTTTGGCTCAAACAAAATCACCAAAATCGATCACAATCCTTCCGTAGGTGGTGTTATGCTTGGTAATGGCCCTTGTATACGGGTTAAACGATCACATCATCAGTTGAGATGCATCGGCATTATGATGCAATAGCGACTCAGACTGTATTCATAGTGCCCATAAGCTGTTCAGCTGACTCGCCACCATGACCTCATTGGCTTAACCTCTGTACAGTCAGACATCGCTTAGCCGCACACATCCGTTTTCCACAAAAAATGTCCGGATAGACGAGGGAACCGGATAATCGAACACTGATCATGTTGGATGCATTACGCATGCTGTATATCTGTAACCAGCTATTTCTTACGGATGGCGAGGGATCCGGATAATAGAGGTCCGACTGTACTTAGAAAATAATAGGACATGTCTCCAGAACCCTACAACCGATATGGTTGAACTAAGAAGAGTTGTGCCATGCTCCACCACAGCTTCAAGCTCATGGCATCTTTCTAGATTAGCACTGCATACACTGTTTCCCCGATACCTTGACATTCACAACTTTCTACAAAACAAAAAAAATAGTCCTCCAAGTGCAATCACCTATTATAATCAGTATCAGTGAGCCAGGTCCATGTGCAATCATGCCAGGAATTTTCAACCACTTGAGCTCCAGACCAATATAGCTCTCAGGTTGTCAGTTAGGCACAGCAGGTGTCAGTACTACAGTAGCACCCTGCTGTTTGCCCACCGCATGACCCACAGTATGACCCACAGCATGACATGCTGTGGACAAACAGAAAATAGTGTCAGCGAGCAGATGCATGTCAACTGATGGCAGACAGGGTAAACAAACTGAAGTACTACCACATCTATACATGGAGACACATGTGTGTTGTGGACTGGTTTGCTCCGTAGAATGCTCACAACTTTCAGTTATTATACTGAGAAGCCAGACTCCATTTCAGGTGCTCAATTTTATCACGAGTGTAAGTGGCACTCAGATAAGCCTTGGGCACAATGAATGATGACTATAACCCAGTGTGAATGTCTGCTGCATAAGCCACTGTCTGGACCAAGAGCAGTAGGCCCAATCCTCACTGACTAATTAGAGATTTCCCTCCAAGCCATAGCACGGACGGTGCGCAATATGGGCGACAGACATGTTCGTTCATATTAAAGGGGAAGTTAAGGCAAAAATTAAAATTTCACCAGTTGTAGTCTTCGGGGTGCTGAGTCGAATGGTCTTGGTCCGAGAAAGCTGAGACGCTCCCTTCCTACTTGAATCCCAATCGAACTCGCGCACTTCCACCGAAACTGGGTGACTGCGCCCTACGAGATGGGGATTTGTATGCAAAATGTCACTAAAAGCGCCATTTCGTTCTTATAAAAGCACGGATGACCGCGATTGGCCCATATGTTGTAGTCTTTTGGACGCTGAGTCGACTGGTTTTGGTCCGAAAAGGCTGCGATGCAGCGTTCCTCCTTTATTCCCAATCGAACATGGTTGAAGAAGCGGTCACGTGCTCCTGGGTGCCAAAATCACCTGGTCACCACGCCAGCAGGCGACAACTTTCACACCAAGGTTCAACTCGAGTGACAGGACTGCACCCAAAAAAGGTCAAAACAGGCTGTAAGTTGTACCCTGCAGGCACGGTGACCAGGTGACTGGTGTACGCAGGAGCACGTGACCGCTTCTTCAACCATGTTCGATTGGGAATTAGGGGCGAACGCTGCATCGCAGCCTTTTCGGACCAAAACCAGTCGACTCAGCGTCCAAAAGACTACAACATATGGGACAATCGCGGTCATCCGTGCTTTTATAAGAACGAAATGGCGCTTTTAGTGACATTTTGCATACAAATCCCCATCTAGTAGGGCGCAGTCACCCAGTTTCGGTGGAAGTGCGCGAGTTCGATTGGGATTCAAGTAGGAAGGGAGCGTCTCAGCTTTCTCGGACCAAGACCATTCGACTCAGCACCCCGAAGACTACAACTGGTGAAATTTTAATTTTTGCCTTAACTTCCCCTTTAAATGGTAGCTGAATGATCTAAACACAAAGGAGGGTTTATCATAGGAATTTGAAGGGCAACCACCTGCCCCTCACGGGGCAAATCACGCAGTTTGTCTCAGGGGCTAGCTACTTGGAGAGCAATAACAGTGTAAACGTTTCACTCCTACCTGCTCTCTACCAAGAATTCCAGGAAGTTGGTAGCGCAGTAGTGTGTACTGTCAGCACCGGATACATTATAGGTTGTTTGTACTTCAGTAATAAGTCTGTTTCAACGTACTTCCCCCAGCTCGCAACACTACACTACACTGTACTGTACTGCTACCTCTGCTCACACAGTGCTGACTACAACACGTGGGTAAAGCGTCCTTATACCAACGGCAGATTACTAAGGTTTTAGGAACACAGGCTGTCCAACCGCCCTGCTTTGAGCAGGACAGTCCTGCTTTGGACAAAAACATTTGTGTACATTTACATGGGAGACAGTTGCCTTTGTATACATTTTATATAGGTGTCCTGCTTTGGAAAGGTGGCAAGGTTGGACAGTCTGGGAACATCACCTATAAAGTAAGGCACCCCAGGACGGCAGTGACTGATCCCTCCTTCTCCTCCACACCATCACCACCACCAGTACACAGTAGAGACACAAGACACAAATCTACAAAACCCAAATCTCCACCACAAGTTTCTACCGCCAGGGACGCTCACCTTTAGCTTTAGCGAAGGCCAGGACGAGATGTGCCACGTAGTCCACACTAAAGCCGATGCCGATGACCAGGACGGTGTGCGAGGCGTGGTTGTACTCCAAGCCCAGGAACGGCATGAGGCCGAACAAGTTGAAATTGACGATGGCGATCAGGAGTGTGCAGAGCAGAGCACCGACCAGGCTGCCCTCGAAGAAGAACCAGCTGATGATCATAACAACAACGAGTGACAGGAGCACGGTCTGATATCCGGAGCTCTTCACGAGCTGTACTTGATGCAGGAATCGGTACACGTAGCTGTACGCGTGCACGGTCAGATCCGCGGACGACTGAGACGCAATGTCTTGTGACAATGCCATCCTCTGTAAGAGCACGTGTGTGCTTGGCGAGGAGCGCTGCCATGCCGTGATGCGTGCTGCTTCGACAATAGTTTTGCCAGCGGTACTGCCTAGAACGACATCGTGTCGGAATCTCCTTCCAAGACTCGTGTTGAAGAAGCCGTGGAGCAGCATTGAGAACTCATCATGTGGCAGCAAACCGTTGGGTAATGTCTGATTGCATGCCGTGGCATACTGGCACAGCTCATCAAACCAGGAGACGACGTACGGGTGAAACGATGGCGACGACTCCAGGCTGCTGCTGAGTGATCTCAAGTGTAGTTGTGTGCTCTCTGCTGCGCTGTCCTTGGGAAGAATGACCATTTCAACCTGGATATATAGGTAAGTACAGAACAACATGGCAACAAACACACACACAACCACATGCACACACACACATACACATACACACAGTGTTATAACCGCATATCTTGTTTCTATTGTCGCGCAATCAACTTGCCAAGTATAGAACTACGAAAGGTGCTACAGAAACAATGGATTATATTCGTTTTGAGTCGCGGACCATTACTTTCTTCAAGCAGAATATTTTCCCTGCTGAAGCCGGTGAAATACGGAACCAACCAGGGACACAGCACCACGATGTCGTGTAGACCTGCGTGCTCTATGTATGGCATCTGCACAAGTGCCGCTACTGTGTGAAAGATACTGCACTTGAGAACGATTCCAATGATGACATCGTTGATTCCAATGATGACATCGTTCATTAACCTACGTGTTCTATGTACTGTAATTTGACAATTTTTCGGTGTACTTTTATTTTCGGTACTTTCGGTTTGTCTGTTAAATACATAAAATATTAATACACCGAGCAAACACTAACACACATAATCCAATAGGGAACTGCTTCTCTGCACCTAAATTTTCTGTTCACCTAACAAGGCCTTTTGCCCTCATACCCAAAAATATTGAGCACCAAGAATTTCTGAAATAAGAGTATGGCATCTGCACAAGTGCCGCTACTGTGTGAAAATCACTGTACTTGAGGACGATTCCTATGATGACATCGGCCACTACTACACTATCCAGTCTGTGACTCCCAGTAGGTGAAGTCATCCAGGGAATTCCCCTTCCCAGTGGAAAACCATCACCTCGACGCATGACAAAGAGGGGAAGGGCCAAAGGATCACAATCTGTGTTATTGCCCAGAGCTCAGGATATTTTGGGTGATGACAGATACAGCAGTGAAGTTACAAGCAATCAAAGTGTTGCAACCCCTGCTACGGTATTACACAAACATACTGCCAGTAATATAACACATTGACAAATTGGGTACTTTCTAATTACTTCACAGGTAATTCAAGAATAATGAGCCCCTTAAGTTCCCCTCCCCCTGTCCCATATCCAAACACCTTGTCCAAACTTGGCCAAGTATCAGTTCAAGAACTATCTAGGCAGATATATATCCACCAGGCTGGTCATGAGATCAGCACTGTTCAGTGCACGGTTCCAAACATACAGTATGATCCCGCAAAACATTCTAACAAATTACACTGGCATTTGAGTTAAGAGGTGTATGTTCAATTAGTATAAATTTTTATTACCTCATTATCACCTATACCTTGCCGAAATGGGAAATTTCCGCTTCATTTGGCTTGAAAGCTATCCTAAGCCTCATGTCCCACCAACATGGATGAAATTCCTTTCACGTTTTCTGCAAGATACATGTACGTATGACCACTGCCTCAACTACTGCTATCTGAATTAACTAAATGCTGCACATAACACATCAACCTGCAGTGCAGTGGGACGCATACTGATAAGGGCAGAGGTTCACAGTATGAAACAGTATGCTATAGAAGAACACCCCTCCCCCCCCCCCCCCCATGCAGCCCCCACCCCCCCCCCCCCCCCCATACACACTAATTTCCACTCAGTACCCCCCCCCCCCCAACACACACTAATCCCCACGCAGTACCCCCCCCCCCCCTCATCCAGTGCACCCTAAAATAGTTTCCTGAAAGGAGAACACGTACCTGTACGGAAACACTTGAAAAGTGCATGGTCTCCAGCTGTTGATACTGCAGAACAAAGCTACTATCTACGAGGGTATCACTGAGCTTGAGTTCACTGCTCACTCTTGTCAGCCCATACACGGAGACACCGCACAGGACAACAAGCAGCACCACGACCAGGACTTTCAGAAGACGCGACCGCACAACGAACGGCCCATATTTCTCGCGGAAAACATACGTCAGGTACTTCTCACCCGGGCGGCGCCTGCACGATGAAGGTGGTGTTCGCGCCGGAGAGATGAACACACTCTCTTGCACGGCCACGCAATGTGGAGCCAAGAACGGCTGCATTGAAGAGCTGCTTGACTTGGGCTTGGACACGCCATTGCCGGCTTGGGCGTTCGCAGGTGTGCTAGCACTAGTTGTGTGATTAGTGGGACTGGATTCGCTATCATTGCTGCACTCGCTGCTTGCTACAGAGCTGTGGCCTAGCTTCATGGCAGCAGCAGTGCTCTCCGCATTGCGGTCGACCATAATGCAACACAGAATCTCCGCACGGCCGGAATCTACGCGTTGCTCGTCCAGTGCAAGACAGGCGACGAAGAACGTCACCTGTAACACAAAGTCAACGATCACGGCCACCGTGGCGTTGATGGCAAACGCTTCCACGCCGGGCACGGCATTGATAGCGACCAGCGCGAACGTAATGGCATCCGTTGTGGACGTCATGGCTATAGAGGCGCCCACCTGGCGTAGAGCACCACCGACACGCTCCCGTCTTGGTAGTCTGGGATCCTGCCTTGCGAGTGCATCACACAGTACAAACATGTCGTCCACGCCAATCGCCAAGATGACGCAAATCATGGCCACCTGTATGGCGCTGAACATAACACCACAGTAGGTCACCAGACCTATACTTGCACCCAGTGCAAGGGCCACATTCAGCATTCCACACAGTGCTACAAGAGTTCTGGAACGCAGCGGATCACAGCAAATCATGTTTCCTGCATTCAATACACTGAACAGCACCAGTACAGAGCCACTAATACCAACCAGCCAGAAATCTGATGACAACGATCGCTCCGTTTCGCGATCCAGAGATGCCGGTCCTAGAGCTTTTGCCGATATCAGCACCGAATTGGAGCTGAACTCTTCCACCGTGTCCACGAATAGTTTGTCCAGAGCGAAATCTTCGACGAACTTTGCGTCCACCGTGTACACGAGGCGAAAGGCTGGTGATGTCCGGAGAAGGTCATCTGCAGGTACTTGGACATTGCCCACGTACAGTGCAGCTGGATGACGAGGCCTGACGCTAGGCGAGAAGTATTGCAGAATAGTTCCACTGATGTTGTTAGCATTTCGACGAATGGTTTCGCTGTTGTACCCAAAGGCGCTGAGAACTCCATTTACGTTTGGGCAATCACTGACGTCCAGAGAATGAACCTTCAGGTACTCTTGTCGACTCGCTTCTTGAGCAGATGCGAGAAAATTATCCACAGGTTGACAGGCCCCTCTCAGACCATCACCCAGAACTAAGAGAACCGTTTCATGCAGGCGTAGAGTTTCCAGTAGGATAGCTTCATTCAACACGTTGTCTCTATCATGTTCTGCTGTCGCATGTACGCCATGATGTGCACTGGTCACAATCACTTGTGCCGGTTGGGATGGAGTCGAGAAGTATTTCGCGAACGCCGCGTTGGCCGAGTCCACTTCGCTTCCTGGTGTTGCCCAGAGTTTGTCGTAGCGATCCTCGGGTTTGAGCTTCAGCAACCCGGTGGACAGCGCCAGAGCCACAATGAACGACACGCTCAGGACCAGAAGAGAATGGTCAGAGGCGAAGCAGCCGAGCTGGTAGAACGCACCGTCCATCCATCGGTGAGCTGCGCGCAAGGCCGAACCGACGCGCAGACGAGCACGGGTAAACACCTTACGAGCCAGAACTTGGCACCGTCCGGAGAACATTGTTCACGAAGATCTGGGCATTCTACTTCCGCAGAGAATAGCTGATGGGCTAGGGAATACTTCACAGCAGGCTTCAGAAACCACCTACATTCTCCGTGCGAATGCTACACTGGAATAAACGAAACAGTTCGTCTCACCTTCTGGCTCAGAATCCCGTGCCGTGGCAAATGAGCTGCTCGGTGTTCTTTTATCTCGTACGTCAACTGCAGTTCTCCTAGGTAGCTAGACCCGTACTAAAACGGTGGAAACACAGGGTCACAGCAAGCCGACAGAAGAGCTTTGTGGAGGACAATGCTAGGATTTCGGAGAACAATGCGAACTCGACCAAGCAGACAAGAGCTGAAATCTCATTGATTGGCATTGAGCGAATACAACATCCAAAAATGTTGTTCAAAGAGTGTGTGACAAGACGTGAAATTGAGGTCTCGCGTCCGGACAACAGCACCGGATTGCTCGCCTATCAACAACAATACAACGACGCAGCTGGTTCTGTTCCTCTCCGAGACGAAATGCCAGAAACTCTACGTGCGCAGCCCGTGGCGAAACTTTACGAAGTTGTCCACACCGCAATGGCCTGTGATGTAGTGCAGCAAGATGTCGATTGTCTACTGGAGATCGATTGCCACTGAAAGGCACACACAACCTATCAGTTGACGCGCATTTCACCTGTAATCCGTCTGAGCTCTGATGTCGATCTACACACACGACGGCCACAGGGCTTCAAACCCTAGCACCCAGATAGCGCGAGGCTGCTTGTAGACAGCCAGAGCCTCACACCTCTGGCTCTAGACGGTTGCAAGGTATTGCCTGTCGTGCTTTCTACGGCAACCCGTGGTGCTAGCTTGATCGCCGCGTAACAGTGAAAATATCAGTAAACCAGCTACCTCGACAGTTCACTCATGTTGCTATCGGGGCTAGGGATTACAATCTCAACTCTGACGCCGCAACGTGTGAAGTGCTGCTCCTCTTCAAGCAGTGATCGTTATCGGATAAGCCGAAACCTTCCACTGGGAGTCACACGGAGATCCACACAGGACACGATTATTATTATCAGGGTCGGGAGGAGAACAGCAAAAAATTGGAATGTTGACGCGCTGAGTGGACCAGCGAATGCCAAGTATCGTCACGGGATGTTTGAGATAGGGTACGGCAAAACTTGAAAGATATTCTCGGCCTGTTAGTGTTACGCGCGGTACACGATGCTACAGTTTTGCTAGGATAGTAACGTCCATTGCTGCAAGGCCTGGCTGCGATAATGGCAGTGGTGGGCTATATTATGCGTGACCAAATTCTACTCGCTGGGGGGTCAGGATGATCCTGTTCTGGCAGGCCGGCGCTCAGGAAGTACTCATTACCTTGACCAAACCTCCCAGATCAAAAACGTCGAGCGTATTTTTACTACCGTACACGGTCACTGTGCTGACAGTGACATGGGCAACGAGTCCCCCACGCTGTTCACCACCTACTACTACTAGTTTCCTGCGTAGTGCAGCGCGGCCCAGGCCAGGTGCAGCGTAACCGCGCAGCTTGCACGCCGATTGGAAAGCAAAAACGGGGAAGGCTCTTTAATCCCGCTTCTGTTAGCAGCTAGCAACGAGACGTAGACACTGGTACCCGAATCATGTGAGCACATTCATGAGCTCAGCAGGCCGCAGTGAGCAGCAAATGAAAGGGTCCTGAAACAGTGAAAGATCGAGGGATGGCACATACGAACGCTGGGTTGACCCACCGCGGTGTAGATGCACCTCAGGGAGGTCCTCTGTTATGACAGCTCCCAACAGGTGATATTTCGCGAGGCCCACCGATAAATGGCAGATACAGTAGCTGGAGGCAGTCTCAGCAAGTCGAACATCGTTCACCATACATACACCATGCAGCCTGGGTTTATTTTAGAGCAGCACAGACCATGATCATGATGCTCACGTCGATAGAGCGATTTACCTCAACAACCTGCGAAATGCTGTCAGTCCGAACATACCCAGATCGAGCACCAGATTGTGTTGGTGATCCACAGGGGACGCGTGTCACCAGAATATCACTCGCTGACCTCCAGAAACCCAATGGAACTACGTGTTTTCATTCCCACTGCAACTGGCGCCGTTGGAATGTATGTCATACCAGACAAGGTTTTAGCAGACATTATCGCGAGATGCACGTAGACGAACGGTGCGTGCGTATCTTTGATTACATGTACAATTGCGTACGTGGAAGAAGATTAACTAGTACTCGTAAAACAGAGGTCCTGTTAGTAGTGTTACGCACGAACACGCGCACGCGCACACACGCGTTATCTCTCTCTCTTTTCTTCTCTCTCTTCCTCCCTCCCTCTCTGCCTGTCTTCTATTGTCTGTCTGTGTGTCTGTCTCACTGTCACTAATTGCATGCCTCTCTCTCTCTCTCTCTCTCTCTCTCTCTCTCTCTCTCTCTCTCTCTCTCTCTCTCTCTCTCTCTCTCTCTCTCTCTCTCTCTCTTCCTCTCTCTCGCTCTCTCTCTCTCTCTCTCTCTCTCTCTCTCTCTCTCTCTCTCTCTCTCTCTCTCTATATATATATATATATCTCTCTCTCTCTCTCTCTCTCTCTCTCTCTCTCTCTCTCTCTATCTATCTCTCTCTCTCTCTCTCTATCTCTCTCTCTCTCTCTCTCTCTCTCTCTCTCTCTCTCTCTCTCTCTCTCTCTCTCTCTCTCTCTCTATCTATCTCTCTCTCTCTCTCTCTCTCTCTCTCTCTCTTCCTCTCTCTCCCTAGCTCTCTCTGTTCAAAAACGCACCTGGTAATGAGACTGGTAGGCGAGCTAGTTACACCAAATACTTGGTTTCTGTTGGGATGTCAACTTTGGCGGTGTTGATTATCAGGATCAAAGACGACGGTACACTGCTCGCATTAAACAATCAGTGTCAGCAATCATTCTCCATGATTCGGTGACCGTTCACTCCTAGACGTGACGACGGGTACGGAGTAACCTAATTTGAAGCGTTCCAAGCAACGGCGTAAGTAACTCACTTCTGTGCTTGATGACGGCGGATCGACCACCAGGGGCAGTCAAAGGTGTTAAGTAGCAGCTCTCCACACCTGGTAACTTAACCAAGAATAGCTACACAGATTTCTCCAGGTCCTCTGTTACTGGTGTCGGCTGAACCCCCAGTACGTCCTCCTTTCTTTATTTGACCGTTCCTTTCATAGTTTTTAAACGTGCCAAAAGTGACTGTATATACGTGCAGTGTATCTCTTACAACACCAGCCCTATCGGTATGCATGTACAGTCATATACATGTACATGTATGATGTCACGTGTGAAGTTTCATCGATTGCCAGAAGCAACCACAGTATCACATTGTACTAGTGTACGGGTGTTGTTTGGCTGCGGGACAGGTCAATACGTCTTAATTTAAGTGATGTAAGTAGGTATGTAGTATTGCAGTCCGTTGGCAATAGAATACGACCAGCTGCAACAATACAGGCAAGTAAGTTGTTGTGCACCTTGTTGTACCCGTAGATCTACATCAGTACATCAGTACATGGGTTTCTTGTGTGCTGAGTACATGTACTACTCCTACTGAGTCTGTCCTAGTCCTAGACTGAATCTCCCTGAATATTGAGCTCCACAAAATCGACCTAGTAGTAGTATCGCCGCCCACGTATTATAATTATGTTGGATCGGCGGTGATGTTTAACCGTTTCCTTTCTGTTATCTTTGCCAAAACTGTATAAAATCAGAGTACATGTAGTGAAGAGAGGGAGAGAGAGTTGATTGAGCCCTAGATTCCCGGCTACCCTATTCTGGAACGTAGTGATCGCGGCACAAAACAGTCGTGGTGCATGGTTGCAACCCTTCCGATCGCACTCATGTAGGTGCTGGCCAGGCAAGGTACTAGGTGTGAACACGATGCGTGTGATTTGCTCTACAAATTCCCATCTCGCGGTACACGAAGATCTACTCAACGCCCAAGCATCCAGCAGTTACAATTGCATGTAGCCAAGCCGCACTCTTTCCTCCAACAAAAGGAATTGTCCTGGAGGTGCCGATCATGCCCTTGCGGCGCGCTCGGTGCTTACATCTTTCTCAGGCCCAGTACTCAGGAGGTGAACCGGCAGTGCCAGGGAAAGTTGGGGCACGCGGCTCATAGTCGTAGTACCGACCTATGGTGTGTGTTGGATGCAAGGGAGTTGAACTGGGTGACTGCACAAGCAGCTGTGTGCTCACCCGCACACGGTCACTGCATGCACTGAATCAATCAGTGTCCAGCTACAATGATTATGTACATTTAGCTCTCAGTAGAAGGTCCACGACCGAGCGACTAGCCTCCTTCAAGCCGCACTTCCACTGCTCCAGATCTCGTAACCGGCCGAATGGATGTGCGTGAACTAGGCTCCCCACAAATGGTGATTTGGATAACGGCGTGTGCCTCACCTGCAGAAGCATCACTCGCGTTGGTTACCGCCGAGTGCCAGTCAGGATCTGCGGTTCCAACTACACGAAAACGGTGTGGTATTTTTCTTGCTTAGGCGAAACCCATCATCTCGGGTAACTGTGCAACACACAATCGCATACGCACATCAGAAACTGATTAGATAGATACCTGTTTACTATACGGTGAGATAGTGACACACCCAAGCGACTACTGCATGTACTGCCTCCTCAGCGCTTTCACTTCCCGTTTGCCATGTTTTGGAGAGGACGGGAAGACCCTAGCCTAGGCTACTGGCCTAGGCTGCTACTACTACTAATACTTGTAGGCTCTCTTATCATTCTGTGGTCGACGTGCATGTACAATGTCGTACATGACTGCAGTGTCAGTGCACTGGCGAACTGCGATACAATCATACAGACTCGGTGATGTCGACCATGGACTGGTAGACGGTGCACCTATAAATAATAATTATAATGTACAGTAGTAGTCTTTCTCAATCTACGGACAGCATGCTGTTTCGTTCTTTGTAAACTCCTCAGCGCAGCACAGAGAAAATGAGGCCGAACCTGATAGCAATGAAAATAAAATTTCCAAAGCCAGTTTTAAATCAGGCCCAAACGTACCTTGCCAGAGTGCTCAAACTGACAAGTCAGTGAGCTCTGCGTAATGCAAATAGCAAAGGCACTACCCCACATGAGAGTGCTCAACTACTACAAGAACAGGTACAGTATAATGTATGATATTGCACGGTTCCGAGGGGATTATTTTTCAAATCCCCAAGGCGCGCAGCGCCGCGGGGATTATGAAAAATAATCCTCGCGGACACTGTGCAATATCCTGTATACAGTCAACTTCGCGTATAACGACACTCGGCGGGGCATCAGAAAAGTGTCCTTATTCGCGAAGTGTCATTATACCCGAAGTCCCATTAGTATTGTATTACAGTTGGATGGGACTTTGCTCTGGGCATGGAAATTATGTCGTTATTCGCCAATTGTCGTTATATCCGCAGTCGTTATTAGCGAAGTTGACTGTAGACCACACTTTTTCGGGTGATCAGCAGCGCAGCATGAACCAGTAGACCCACATGTGCAGTGCGAACGGAACACTGATTAGTTCTGACATAGTCATTCGCTCGTCGCCTCTCCGGGTTTACATGTAGATCCACTTGTTGGTTTGACTGAGGCGAGTGCGGAATGTCACACACTTTCTTTGGTTTGTCTCCCAAGACGAAGCCTCATGAAGTCTGCTGCTTGTTGGTAGCTGACAAGACCGTGAGAAAAGGCGGTGCTGATTGTGATCAAGTCAAGACGACGAAATAGTAGATATTGTAATAATTTAAAAATAATTTGAGTTGCTTTGTTCGTCTGACACCAACAAAATATGCTGCGTGGAGGCGATTTATTCCCGGTACAAATCAAAGACTACAATGAAGAATTGTCAGACACTGACGTCCGTCCGATGGCTTAGTCTAATGTTGTAAGAGTACCCGAAATAAGATGGATTGTTTGTGATCGTGTGGAACAAATTTGACCAGACCAGTAAAGCGTGAATGCCACATGTACAATGTAGAACCAATGACATTGAGTTAGTAGTAGGCTAACTGCTGCAACGGTTTATCTTTCAGGCCTGTGAAAGAAGGAAATTTCCAAATACTGTACTAGAAACCAATTTTGCATTGAACGGCGATGCTCATTACTATGTGTCTTTGTCATTTTGTGCAATGTTTCTATGACAACTCGTGTGCTGGACGAGCATTTTTGTTGTGATGTTATACGCACACCCATATTTGGATCCCGACCCCGGCATGATTCCATTACCCCTAGCCCTGCATGCAGTAATTCGTACACATTCCATTACCCCCTACCCCTACCCCTACCCTTGCATGCAGTAATTCATACGCACTCCACTACCCCCTACCCCTACCCCTGCATGCTGTAGTTCATACGCACTCCATTACCCCCTACCCCTAGCCCTGCATGCAGTAATTCGTACACATTCCATTACCCCCTACCCCTGCATGCATTAGTTTGTACACACTTCATAACCATATTTGACCCATTATCCCCTACCCCTATCCCTAGCCTTGCATGCAGTAGTTCGTACGTACACACTTATAACCATATTTGACCCATTTCCCCGCTGCCCCTGCATGTTATAATTAATACCGTACACATTTGTAGCCCGTTTTTCCCTCCTTCTGCCCCTGCACATAAAACCCACCGTACATTTGATCTAATTACATCCCTTTATAGTGTACATAGTCGGGCTATACACATAATATACGCGCCCAGCTAAATGGGCGCGCTCATGCATTGTACCGTACATTCTATTCTAGTTCACTCTAAGATAACCAAACTGCGGTAATCTAGTCAGAAGAAGAATCCACTCCCTAATGTTGATGTCGAATAATTCTGTCCTCGTCGTGAGATAATATATACTTTACCAACTCTCGTAAACTGGTCTCTCTGGTGTGTGAATAGACAACATTGTGAATTGACAACATTGGCGCCCAACTTTGGCTCTAATTACCCACTCCCTCCGCTCTACCGACTACCAACGACTCTGTAATGAATATTCCCGGTGCCTTTCACTTCCCCGCGTGAGTAACTTCGATAAGCTTGTGTATCGTATTAGTCATAAGTGCTTCTGCCTACCGTTGTGTTCTTGTTCGTTTTCCTTTTGTGTTAATTGGTGTCCTTTTGTGGTGTTTCGGGTGCATCAGACTTATCAGCCTTACTGTCTAGTACATATAGTGTAGCATACAT